GAAATTCGAGTGTTTGCGGAGTGAAAAAATTCTCCTTGGGATTAGTTCAGGATAAAAAATCCCGTGTGTAATGTATAAAATAAAATATTTGCTTAGATAAACATAAAATATTTATTATAATATTTAACAGATAGTTAAATTAACAACACAACTAGTGACAAATTTCAACGAATTGATATAGTTTAAAGTGGAACAAATACATTTCTACATTGTTGCTACGACCGCGTATGTGGCAACTCCACACTGATTTTTATTGTTTCTGGACATCAAAATGTAACCATCCATTCCCCAATCGGTTCCCCATGAATTTTTAACAATCCAATAATCTTTTCCCTTTTTACTGCCATATCCAACAGCCAATACACCATGATCCAATGATTGTCTATCACTTTCACAGGAATCGTCATCAAATACACCTGTTAAATTGTAAATCGTCTTATTGTAAATATCGTTCGAGAAAGTATAAGAAATAAGTATTTACCTGAACTATACAATTGGAAATTATAAGTGGCATCAATTCCAATCGATACAGGTCCAATCAATGCAACTTTTTCTTGTAAGTCTTGTTCATCACCAATTGCTACTCTTGTAAATGATGTAATTTTCACAGCTACATCAGATTTGTTAAATTTACACATGTCATCTATAGCTTCATAAGGATAATCCTTTTCGGACATAATTCCGTTTTTTTCTATATATTCAAGTGCGTTTATCATTAATCCTCCTCCGCATCCATCATCTTGTTTGTCACAATCTACCAAATTTTGTTCGCTTAGGGAAACCAATTTGCCAGTTTTTCTGTAATTTGCCCCTTCAACTGTTCCCGTCTGTTAAAAATCAATTTAATAGTTATTAATATTTTATATTTGTATTAATAAAATAACTTACAGTACTGAAGCTCCAACATGATCCGCACGCTAATTGATTTTTTATCTCTGTTACAGCCCCCTTTTTTCTCCAATCGATTTCGTTAGGAAGTTCACCTTCGTAATCCAATTTAGTAGGAGTGATTTCTTTATCTTCCGTCCTTTCACTCTTAGATAATTTCATCATATCTTTAAATTCTTGAGGCGTAAGATCAGCAAATACAGTAACTCCCATTCTGTATGATGAAAGGCCTTGCTCTTCTTTTGCATTATGAGCTTCAATTCTGCGCAAGTTCGATTGGAAGATCGAGAATCGTTTCGTTTCTTCTAAAGCCGTTCTGTATACTTTTTTGTTTGTAGACTAACAAAAATTATGTTACACATTATTACCACTAAAAAATCCCCTTTAAATTACTTACTTTAAAATTGAGCCATTCCTCCTTATCGGTAAATGCATAGGCAACGAGCACGTTTGCCAAAAGTAATGTAATTATCAGTTTCATCTAAAAATTTTATTAATTCATAGATAGGTAATCGATTTAAAGTGAAAAAAATAATTGCGAGAGTACTTACGTTTTTTTCTTTCTTTATAACTTGAAGACAGTTGGAAATGTATTGTTTCGAAGTGCAGTTGAGACTATGAAATGAATTTCCGAAGTGAGCCTTTTTATATTGGAAAAATCTTATTTATTTGTTATTAGGAAATTACATCTTTCTTAATAACTTTGTAAAATAATTATATCTTTAAATCTGGAGTACCTATATTGTTTGTCAACAAATATAAATAACGATCTGTTTTAATATGTTCACCTTACATTTTTAAAATTATTTATTTTTATTAGATTTAATTTACAAAACATTCTTTGCAAAATTGATTATTTGCTGTTTTGTAATTATTTTTATTCCAAAATATTATTTATCGATAAAATTGTTGTCTAAATATTTGTGTTTTTTTAAGGAAAATAGTGGTTTCCTATTATTTATAATCTGATGAAAATTCTTAAAATGCATAGACATTTCAAATAGAAACTAAAGTAGTGATAATGGGACATCTAGTAAAATATCAATTGCAACATTGAAATCAAGAAGATCCTATCATAATTTGTCTTAAATCTTATATTAGAATAAGGAAAATTAGAAATAGAAGCAAGAATAAAGGTAGAATTAGAATAAGCATTGTTATTTTATTAATTCAACGAAATTGATTTTCAAAAATTCTAATTCTGTTTTCATTATAGCAAACTTGTTATTTATGAGTGTTGTTAGATAATATTAGAATGATTTAGAACGCTTGCGAACGAATTAGAACTGTCAAGAACTATTTGTTGCATGTAGGACACAATAACGCATGACTTTCATACCAATTAGATGAAGTCTTTATCTAGTCCAAGGAGACTATATCAGACTTAGGAGTGATAAAAAACACCAAACTCCCATGGTCTAAGCAAGTAAATGCTGATGTTAAAAAGACAAACAACTCTCCTTATCACCCTATACAAGTCATACATTCGTCCCCACCTGGAGTATGCTATCCAGGTTTAGTCGCCAAATCTCGGGAAAGATATCCAACTCATGGAAAGGGGCCAAAGAGCCACAACACGTTTGGTTTTTAACTATCAAGGGTCATCTTATGAGGAACGCTTAACACATCTTAAATAACCATTCCTACAAGACAAAAGGCGACGAGGTGATGCCATATCGACATTCCGGATACTTCGAAACCTTACTTCAACAGACCTTTCTAATAACATCATCCTGAACAGAGATGATTGACTTAGAGGACATCCTTTCAAATTATCTAAAGAGTCTTAGGACTACCCATAGACAATGGTTTTTCACCTGGTTTGAAGTAAAATTATTTCATGTAACGAGTCCGGTCCCAGAGAATTGCGATAAAAGAGTCATTTCCTTGAACCAAAATATTTGGCATCAACTTTCAAGAAAAAATATTTGGATTTATGTATTAGTTTCTCCTGAAAGATTAACCATAAATTGTAAAAGTCTAATTTCAACAAAATTACTTAAAAGCATAGGAACTTTAGAGCTGTCTGAAAATTGTTAAGCATTTACACATAGTGCATTTGGTACCTCAGCGAATTCATTCTGGTACATTAAAGCAAAATCAAAATTTCATTCCCTCTGTTGATTTACTCGATTGTTGTGAAATAGATGAAAATGAAAGAAGAAAACTTTATTTTTCTAATATACACTTGAATCCTAATTTTAAAATATTAAACATGCATTTAGATGATTTAAACTTGGCTGGTAAGAAATTATCAGAACTTGATGATCAAATTGACCATATGAATTGGTTACCCAGCCCGTTCACTTCGCATTATAGTATTTTAAACAGTTTGTTTATTTTGGGTTTAATTTCATTTTGTTTTTGTTGTTGTAAAAGATGTAGATTAGAAAGAAAATTTTGCGAAACACTTCCTGGTATTTGTATCCGAATTAATCCTAGAATTATGGATCCAATAGTTGAGTTTAGACAAGAACATCGGACCATGTTCTTCTGGAGTGTCAGAACTGGGCTTTACTACGCAGGCTAACCTTTGGAGTCCCTGTTATGGCCCCTGGAGACACAAACAGGCACCCATTGAAAAGGACTGAGGCCTTCATCGAGGGACTCGGCTTGATGGAAGTTATATTGTCAGATGACTGTCGGACTGTCGATTTCCACGGAAATCAGCGATCATGTTTAGTTCATCGACAAGTGCCAGAACCGTGGAATCAGCAACTTGCTAACTTGCATAAGTAGCAGGAATGGCATAATGGGCCCGCTAGAGGCCTCAGTGCCTGAACCTTGGCTTAAGCTGTCTCGGCCAAGGTTCGCCTGCGAATTAGCCAGTAGTAGTAGTGATTTTAGAAACCCGAAAACTGCTTCTATACCATATACAGATCACTCCCCCACAGAAATTCGTCGAACCAGAGCAATTGTTGGAAGGAAAGGTATAAAAGATTTTACATCTTCATAGACGTTCAATCTTTCTTAAGGGAGGAGGTGTTGTAATCCAGTAGACATTAGGTATATTATTATATATTTTTTATTTTTTTTATCTTTGATACATTAGACGGTTTTCTTATCAGTTTCATTTAGCTTCTTAAAAGCACGAATTTAATTTAATACTTCTTGTAATAAAATATTCTTATGTGAACTTTGCTAGACGAAGCTTGATTCGCAGAATGCATTTTCAGTGTTTGTAAAAGGGAAATAAGTTCTGTTTTATCTTAATAATTATATGTATCTTAATCAGAATTTTTTGTGCAAGAATGAAATTAATGAAAAAGATAAGAAAATAAGTTATGACAGCTGTCATGTACTTTTGCATACAACGGATAACTGTATAAATTTAGCAGCTTCTGAAGTGCAAGCAATTGTGCTACAGAATAGATTCCTGATTTTCTTCCGCCCTGAAGAAATCGCCAGGGATTCAAGAGAGTTCTATTGCTACTTAGACAACGGGGTATATTAAAAATTATGTTAAAAATTTGAAGGAAGAAGTTGATACTTTAAAGCAAAAAAATGAATCCATGGAAGAGAAACTAAATAGTCTTTAAAAGGAGGCAGAGAAGGTCGAAATGGAAGAAAGAAGAAGGCGACCCAATAACGTATTGGTATTTCAGGTATCTAAAATATACCTATCTAAATATTCTTGACTTCTTTAAATAATTTATCGGTGATTGTTGGAAATATAAAATTAGCAATGTGGTAAATGCATGATAATGCAACAATAAATTCGAGTTTACCGCTATCGTTTAAAAAAACGCATTACAATAAAACAAAGAAAAGATACAAGTAGATGTAAAATTATTTACAGTATAGGCTATAGACAAGTTCCTAGACAAGTACCATTAGACAATTGTAAAAGAAAAAAAAAGAAAGAGTGATATTGTGGAACTGATAGGTTCCTATTTTCGCGGAGCCCATCCCGAACGCATTCCGAGTAACTTCGTATTCCCAATTGAAATTCGAATGTTTGCGGAGTGAAAAAATTCTCCTTAGGATTAGTCCAGGATAAAAAATCCCGTGTGTAATGAATAAAATAAATATTTGCTTAGATAAACATAAAATATTTATTATGATATTTAACAGATAGTTATATTAACAACACAACTAATGACAAATTTCAACGAATTGATATAGTTTAAAGTGGTACAAATACATTTCTACATTGTTGCTACGACCGCGTATGTGGCAACTCCACATTGATTTTTATTGTTTCTGGACATCAAAATGTAACCATCCATTCCCCAATCGGTTCCCCATGAATTTTTAACAATCCAATAATCTTTTCCCTTTTTACTGCCATATCCAACAGCCAATACACCATGATCCAATGATTGTCTATCACTTTCACAGGAATCGTCATCAAATACACCTGTTAAATTGTAAATCGTCTTATTGTAAATATCGTTCGAGAAAGTATAAGAAATAAGTATTTACCTGAACTATACAATTGGAAATTATAAGTGGCATCAATTCCAATCGATACAGGTCCAATCAATGCAACTTTTTCTTGTAAGTCTTGTTCATCACCAATTGCTACTCTTGTAAATGATGTAATTTTCACAGCTACATCAGATTTGTTAAATTTACACATGTCATCTATAGCTTCATAAGGATAATCCTTTTCGGACATAATTCCGTTTTTTTCTATATATTCAAGTGCGTTTATCATTAATCCTCCTCCACATCCATCATCTTGTTTGTCACAATCTACCAAATTTTGTTCGCTTAGGGAAACCAATTTGCCAGTTTTTCTGTAATTTGCCCCTTCAACTGTTCCCGTCTGTTAAAAATCAATTTAAAAGTTATTAATATTTTATACCGTGTTGGAAAATTTTTCGCGCATAATAGGGAAATCAATGTTAAATTCTTAGCCGGCTGAAATCCAATCTACCAGTGTACATTTCAATAGAACGTCGCGATCAATTCTAATAAATTTAATTGTTCTACTGGACTTCACACCGCGCTTTGGCTTGGTTAGATTAAAAATCAAATAATTTCGACGGTTTGAACACTTCGACAGTATCAAAACGGGTTCGGATGGGTGAACGTCGAGTCGATTACAAAGAATTGAGAATTTTTAAACGATAATTTATTGAAAAAATATCACTAATAATAAAATAGAATTATGTAGATATGTCTTTTTGCCACAATGGCTTGAAAAAGAAAGTAAATTCTAAGAAAATAATAAAAAGAATACTCCAAAAATAAACTTAAAGATTATTTTAAAATAGAAAATAAAAGAACTCTAAAAAATAGTCCACCGCTTTCTGCTAAACAATAGCCAAACCTGTCATACAGATGTCATTTCATATTACTGAGCTGAGGTGTAATTTTAGCAGAAAATTGAATTATTTTTTCCTTACTTTTCCTTATTTTAACAAGATTTGTTGCTATTTCAAAACTGTACCTACCGATACACACATTTTTTTGAAATATCCCCAAAAAAACCTATTAATTGTAGTTTCTAAATAATTTTGTACCTCATACCTAACACAAATAACTTTGTACCTCTACAAATCGCGGCGTGCGGTCCAGTAGAACAATTAAATTTATTAGAATTCATCGCGACGTTCTATTGAAATGTATACTGGTAGACTGGATTTTAGCCGGCTAAGAATTTAACATTGATTTCCCTATTATGCGAAATTTAATTTCCAACAGTGTATTTGTATTAATAAAATAACTTACAGTACTGAAGCTCCAACATGATCCGCACGCTAATTGATTTTTTATCTCTGTTACAGCCCCCTTTTTTCTCCAATCAATTTCGTTAGGAAGTTCACCTTCGTAATCCAATTTAGTAGGAGTGATTTCTTTATCTTCCGTCCTTTCACTCTTAGATAATTTCATCATATCTTTAAATTCTTGAGGTGTAAGATCAGCAAATACAGTAACTCCCATTCTGTATGATGAAAGGCCTTGCTCTTCTTTTGCATTATGAGCTTCAATTCTGCGCAAGTTCGATTGGAAGATCGAGAATCGTTTCGTTTCTTCTAAAGCCGTTCTGTATACTTTTTTGTTTGTAGACTAACAAAAATTATGTTACACATTATTACCACTAAAAAATCCCCTTTAAATTACTTACTTTAAAATTGAGCCATTCCTCCTTATCGGTAAGTGCATAGGCAACGAGCACGTTTGCCAAAAGTAATGTAATTATCAGTTTCATCTAAAAATTTTATTAATTCATAGATAGGTAATCGATTTAAAGTGAAAAAAATAATTGTGAGAGTACTTACGTTTTTTTCTTTCTTTATAACTTGAAGACAGTTGGAAATGTATTGTTTCGAAGTGCAGTTGAGACTATGAAATGAATTTCCGAAGTGAGCCTTTTTATATTGGAAAAATCTTATTTATTTGTTATTAGGAAATTACATCTTTCTTAATAACTTTGTAAAATAATTATATCTTTAAATCTGGAGTACCTATATTGTTTGTCAACAAATATAAATAACGATCTGTTTTAATATGTTCACCTTACATTTTTAAAATTATTTATTTTTATTAGATTTAATTTTCAAATCATTCTTTGCAAAATTGATTATTTGCTGTTTTGTAATTATTTACAGTATTTACATTAATTGTTTATTATCGAAAAAATTGTTTTCTCAATATTTGTGTTTTTTTATAAGGAAAAGCGTTTCGTTTCGCCTACGAACGAATTAGAACTGTCAAGAACTATTTGTTGCATGTAGGACACAATAACGCATGACTTTCATACCAATTAGATGAAGTCTTTATCTAGTCCAAGGAGACCATGTCAGAATTAGGGGTGATAAAAAACACCAAACTCGCATGCTCTAAGCAAGTAAATGCTGCTGTTAGAATGATAAACAACTCTCTTTATTACCCTAAACAAGCCATACAATTGTCCCCACCTGGAGTATGCTATCCAGGTTTAGTCGCCAAATCTCGGGAATTATATCAAACTCATGGAAAGGACTTAAAGAGCCACAACACGTTTGGTTTCTAACCGTCAAGGATTATCTTACGAGGAACGCTTAACACATCTAAAACTGCCATTCCAACAAGACAGAAGACGACGATGTAACCGTACACAGTATTAACTCTTTTAAGAATAGAAAGTAGCTATTGTTTAGCTTTCAAATATCTACTATTTTCTCTTTTTTTAGTTACGGGCTTAATTTTGTAATTGGGCATAATATGTTCTCCTCTGCCCTTGTAATTTGTTAATAATAATAATAACTATGTAGAATTCTTCAGAATCATTTAAATTGCTTGAGGACTAATTAAAATTGTGGAGAATCATTTTTAATTGTCTATGATAGATTGATTTAAAGACCTAAGAACTAAAAAAAAGATTTATAAATTGTACTAAACACCCTTAATACCCAAAGAAAGACTCAAAAAGTGAGAAAGGACTCTTTAATATAAGACTGACGAACTCAAAGTAACTCATTTAAGCACCAGAAAAGATTTACGAATCTTAAGATCCAAAAGAGTCAATTATCCAAAAAAGATATCAAAGGCCCAGAAAAAAATGAATTAATTCGGCTTTTATTTTCTAAATATTGTCTAAATTTTCTTTCCTTCCAATTTTTACAACTGTCGTGCGAGTATCTCCTTTGGAACATGCCAGTTAATCCTTGGATCTAAAAGACCTGCTAGTGGGATCTACCAAAAGAAAGATGTTCGACGCCGTTTTCGTCTGCTTTGGGAATCACAAGACGCCATTTTTACCAACCTTTCAAGGCGTCGAGACGTTCCAAGGGGCCACGCCAGCATACCACGGTCTTTCAAAGAGGTCTGGAAACTACCCCAATTTTTTGGTGGTGGGGGTGTCCAGCCTAAACGAAAACGTATGGAAGAGTTCACTTGAGTACCGAACGTGGCGCACGATCTGAGGATCAGCCTATCAGTGACGTGCATTACTTACGTTCAAACTCATTCAATACCAGCAAACCCCTACAAACAATATATTTTCACATATTCGCAAATAAATATATTCTAATGAAAAATATTCAAATCATTTACAGTCTCTATGACAATACGCTATTTTTAGCAGGTAAGCCGGAAGTAGAGCATTTTTATATAGGCTACTATAACACCAGAGAAGTTATTGCCACAAGCTGTTAACACAAGCAACAACTCGAAATTATGCTTTGAAATGCCTTGAGTCTTAATAATAAAACAATTAATATCTAAGCACTAATAGTTACAGTCGAAAGATTTTGTAGTAATCGAGAAATGTAGACAAACATGCAAACCTGTACTGCGGTATTTACCGAACTACGATTTGATGATAACATAGTTAAATCAGCAAGTACCCATTTTAGCGTTTACGAATATAAACCTTCATATTTGCTACTTCAGAAGTCAATGGTAATTTATTGGTAATTGTAGAGAATTTGTAGCAAGTCATCAACCGGACACCAATCTATGAAAGAAAATATGCTTGACCGATGACATGCAATTGTACAGGGTGTCCGGATAAGGGTATGGAGCGGCTGTATCTCGACAATGGTAAGGCCTAGATATTTGAGAAAAAAATCTTGATGGATAAAGTGGACTAAAAAAATAGCTGGAAATTATTTTCAAGTTCGTAATTTGACCGCTAGGGGATATAACTGCTATGATGAGATATAAAAGTTGAGCTATCTCGGAATGTAAGACGGTGAGTTATAACTTTTAGAACATCATATGAGTGCTTGGATAATACCGCATAATTTTGTCCTTTGATGTTTTTTCGTATCTGTTATAATAAGAGAGGAAGAGGCAAATGCATTTTTAGAACTTCACATTTTTATAACTCCTGAACCAATGAACCAAATTAAATTTAATTGGTCTCGTTTTAAAGAGGATTTGGTGCTCTTTTCAAAGAAATTTTTTCTTATACGATTTAGTTTAAAACAAATAAACTAGAGGGCGTTATCTGAAACGGTTGCATTCTTTTGTGATTTTTGAAACAAAGTTAAATGGAACGGTACTATTTTCTTGACAGGTCTAAAACCTTCATAAAATTTGTCAGACTTTAGTGAAAACCGCATCGCAATATCTCCATCCATTCTCAAGATATACGAATAAATGTTATAAATTCGAGTACTTCAATCGAATCAATTTACCTTCGCGATAAAAATAAGTAACATAATTATGGTTATCGACGTATTTTAAATAAATAAATAATTAAATAAATAAATGAATCACCAAATCAACAAATTAACAAAGTAATAAATTAACGAGACCAATTAAATTTAATTTGGTTCATTGATTCAGGAGTTATAAAAATGTGAAGTTCTAAAAATGCATTTGCCTCTTCCTCTCTTATTATAACAGATACGAAAAAACATCAAAGGACAAAATTATGCGGTATTATCCAAGCACTCATATGATGTTCTAAAAGTTATAACTCACCGTCTTACATTCCGAGATAGCTCAACTTTTATATCTCATCATAGCAGTTATATCCCCTAGCGGTCAAATTACGAACTTGAAAATAATTTCCAGCTATTTTTTTAGTCCACTTTATCCATCAAGATTTTTTTCTCAAATATCTAGGCCTTACCATTGTCGAGATACAGCCGCTCTATACCCTTAACCGGACACCCTGTATATTATTTGGTACACATTGAGTATCTTCCAATTAATTTTTTTAACCGATTTAAAAAAGGTAATAAAATCTTTTGCTTTAAAGCGACAGCAGGTTTCTCAAAGCGAAACCTCTATTCCTTCACTTCTTTTTATGCATACATCTTGAAGCAATTCCTTCATTTTCTGAAAGCAAAAGGTTATCCTTCTTTCCTTCTTTTTACATACACTGTGTATAAAGTCGAGCGCTACATTCGTCGGCCGATTCATCGCGCCGAAGCCGCGCCTCTCCACAGTTCGACTGATTCTCTCTTTCTACTGTTTGCAGCGCTCGAACATAGACACTCTGTATAAGACCTATTTATTGTCCAATATTCAATTTTCGGCAATTCGATCGCCATCGATGTTACGTCACTCTATAAGCGTCGTTTAGGCACTTAACCGAACAAAATTGGGAAGTTAGTTTATAAACTCCGTTTAACGCTCAAAACCAAGATTGCTGTTTTGGTGAAATCCGTTTTGTACTTAAACTGAGTTTAAGAACCTTAGCTGCGTTTAAAATTGTTTAACGCCCTTGGTGAAATGGGCCCTAAGTTAACAACATATGGGAAACTTTTTTATTATTAATTTTACGAAAAAAGTAATTCTTTAAAATAAACTACTCAAAATGAATATAGAGACATGTCCTTAAAATCCAATAAGTAAAAAAATATGTATTATTTTGTCAAACATTTATATTTTAAAAATAGTTTATAGATTCCTTCCCTACATTTCATAAGGATTTTCAAAAGGCTGTTTGGTAATACGATTAAAAAAAATACAATATTAAAGGGTCCAAAAGAAATAAAATTTATTTAAGGAAAAAATGAGGAAAAATGTACATTAATAATGAGTACGACCACCTCTGGCTCTAAGAACTTCGGCACAACGATGAGGCATGCTTTCCACCAAATTTCTGATTACTTGCTGTGGTAACTGCTCGTAAATCGTTAAAACAGCATCTGCAACTTGGTTCAGATTTTGGAAGGGTTGATGATCCTTCAAACGTCTTTCCAGTTCATCCCAAAGATGCTCAATTGGATTTAGATCCGGGCTATTTGCTGGCCATCTCATAACAGTAATATTGTGCTCTTGTAGGAAATTTCTGACGACCCTGGCAACGTGTGGCCTGGCATTATCATGTTGTAGAATGAAACCAGCGCCCATATTTTGGGCAAATGGGACGACATGAGGTTCCAATATCTCCTCTATGTAACGAACAGCCGTTAAAGTCCCTTCCCGAAATACCACAAGGTCCGTGTGTCCTGTCAAAGTTATACCAGCCCATGCCATTATCGATCCACCGCCAAATGGAAAAATTTCTTGCACACAGTCATCCAAATATCGTTCACCGGGGCGTTTCCATACCCGAACACGCCCGTCATTATTGAATAACATGATTTTTTTTCATCTGTAAACATAACATTCGCCCACTGCTCTAAATTCCAATTAAGATGCTCTTGACAAAAGTTTCTACGATTTCCTCGATGAGCTGGAGTTAATCTAGGAGCTCTAGCTGGTCGTCTTGCACGGAGTTGTCCTTCGTGAAGCCTGTTTCGTATCGTTTGGTCCGAAATTCGTATTCCCGTAGCTTCTATTAGGCTATTTTGAAGTGTTCTAGCAGTAGATGTGCGAACCCTAATTGCCAGAAGTCGTAAAGAACGATCTTCTCTCTGGGTTGTTGCTCTTTGTCGATTG